TACTATGCTGTATGCCAGGTTGCCCTTAGATGTGGCATGGAAACTGAATCTATTACACAATGCAGCAGAAGGTTTGTTCTATACTGCATACATTCATACCCAACATGCTATTTCCTTTTGGATAAGCAAAATTCTGCAAGCAGGAGTGAACCTTAATTCAAAGAAGACTTTACTTTTATAGTTCGGCTGCCATAACTTATTGGAAATGTCTGAACATGGACTTGCAATTTCTATATACATGCATATCTGTAATGGGGCATAACTTTTTGGGGTAAGCACAGTTATGCAAAGTGGAGTAAAAGCATAATATTATAGTAAGACAAAAGAAGGAAGGTATCAAAGAAAGAAAGGAAAAGAAACAAAATGAAATCTGGCTTACCAAACCATTCACAATAACTTTTCAGGCAAACCATCCTTGCTTCCATACTGCTTCATGCATCGCCTTTTGTTCTTTAAACTTTTCAATTGTCTTTGAGGATCTCCATCCAACCATGGCTTTCTTGGTTTTCTGTTTCTCTCATCCCATTCACTCTTCTTTCATACATTCATTTTCTCTCTATCACCAAATCACTTCGATGTTTTCTTTTGTATTGGTCATTCACTTTTGTATTCAATCCACATTCACTCATCACCCATTCATTCCTGAACATATCTCTTATGGTTTTATCACACCTACTTCTTAAGTATCCCATTTCCACTACATTCAACTTACTTTTATGCTTCATATTGACATATTCAACTCTCATATATTTATATAGCAAAGTAGGCAGAACCACATACTTATACACAGCCATTTTCACTTCTTTCAACGAATATACATTCCTTGGTCCTTCCCAATCTGGACTTGCAGTAAATCTCAGATTTCCTGACATTCCTTGGCTTAGCTTAATTCCTTGACTTGATTTAGCAGAAGACTCACAAACATGACTCAGTGAGATTACAATATTTTGCAGACAGGAATAAAGCTACAGTATATGCAAGAACTGATTGCCAACTGCCATGAAAAGTTGTAAATGGCTTTTATAATCTCAAAGATTTAAGTCCATAGCTTTTTCCTTACACTCTTCTGAAGTAACAGACATGGGACTTGGTTGCCTTGAAGCCAAGCAATAACTGTATGTTTACACAACTGCCATCTCTGGTGTGGAAACTGGCTGGTTCCTGGCTTAACCCTTACACTTTAAAGTTAACTACTTAATACTTCCTTCCTTTCTAAGTGCATTTGCACATCTTACAATTTCTCCATCCATTTTTCACATCTTGAGTAAACATTCTACCAAGGTATACAAATTCATCTAATAGAGTTAGAGCTTTTCCCCCATTTATGTATAACTAGTAACTGTTCACTCAGTTTCCCCAGTCAGACAAAATTACCTTGATCTTTGATACATTCCTTGTTGCATCATAAAATCTACTTAACATTTACCACAAATAATTTGAGTTCTCAGCCAACAATGCAACATGATATGCATATAAAACTGCACGTAACACACCTCAAGCATTTCATATATATTTATCCAAAAATATCCTAAACAAGCAAGGGGACATTATATATCCTTTTTTAACTAACTGCCAGGTGTTTGTTAAGTACACTGGTACCTCAGTTCACGAACTTAATTCATTCCACGATTCTGGCCGCGAACCGAATTGGTCGTGAATCGAATCAAATTTCCCCATATGTAAATAAGGTTCAATGTAAATAAGGTTAATCCGTTCTGACCCCTACGAATGTGATTGCCAACCGATTTTGGTCACCAACCGAATCAAATTTTCCCATAAGGTTCAATGTAAATAAGGTTAATCCGTTCTGAACCATATGTTTTTTTTTAAACCAC